AATTCTATTTTTATCAGAAATTCGTTGTACTGAAGCTTGTTTCTCGGGATTCTGATCTTGACAATCAGTTGCTTTATGCACAGACTTTTTACATTTAAGACATTTTATCCCCTTCGATTTGTTTACACAATGCGATGATTTATGCCCAAATTCCTAGCAATTAAAACATTTGACCTTATTAACGTTAGATGATTTCGGTTTGATGACGCAACTTACTTCTATCTTTAACTTGGTGTTCTACTTTCGGTTTCGGATTTTTTAAACTTATCATTGTCCGATCTCATTCTATCATACATTTTTTAGCCTTTGTTAAATTCAGATACTGTTTCGCAACCATATAGTATAGTTTTCCTCACACACAGAATCGGGAATACCATCAATAACATATTAATTAATGAAGCATCTTCAATGTTACCTCACAAACACATTTCTTTCATTTTCAAAAAAATACTCATCTAAAGATTCATTAGGCCTTTAATTACGCTTACATAACATTTCATGCAATTCAGCTGAATTAAAACTTTACTAAATTCAGATTTCAAAAGCTTTTTTAACTTATAACCAGTCATTAACTTTAGGTTCACTCTGAAAAATAGTTTGGCTTTACCTTTTAATGATCTTTTAGCAAAAACTAATTTATGTAAATCACTCAATTTCAAAGAATTTATAACATCTTCAAATTCATCAATTCATTTATCAACATTTTCATATGCATTACCAGAAAAAGGATTAACACAGAAGATTAGTATTTATTCGGCGTGTTATTGTGTCTTAATACTTTCAATATCCGAAAAACTAAGATGAGGTTTTAAAATGATCATGAATTGGAAGCTGCATACTGTATTTACTTGAGGACTCATTAAAACCAGGATGTCTCTTGATTATCATCAAGCATCATTTCAGAAATTTATTAACAGTTTCATCTTCAATATCACTATTTCCTTCATGCAAAATATTTTCAATAATACAGATAATCACATAGGAAAGAGACAATTTGGGTAACTACTTCTGATTTTAAAACCTTCTGAATTAACATAGTACAATTGCAAACTTTTAATTACTAGTTCAAAGTAAAACTATTCTGCACTGTATCTATTTCTTATTAAATTCTTCAGAATCTGGTTTAATATAAAGCCAAAAATTCACGTAATCTTTTCCGTTATTGCAATCTCCATAGTATTAAAATAAGATGCAAACTTTTGATTTCAGAACTTTTACTCTTCTTTAAAGCTGCTTCCAATTGTGGAATTTCTACTAACTTCATATTGGAAAGAAAGTTTTGTACTCACCCGACAGATGATCGTCTTCAATTGGGGTAACCACACACTTAAACGAATCAATAATCCATAATTGTAAGAATAGTTCACTCAGTCATTGAATACACAGTACTTTCGATTTGAAGTTCGTTGATGAGCTCGTTGCTGGACGGTTGGTCACCAAAGTTGTAGGTTTAATTCAAAACAATAGAGCACGAATATTGCATTTTAAATGCTTTATTTACTAATAAGAAATAGATAAATAAAATAAAGGTTAAGTAAAAATAATGTTGCAGGATTCAGTAATGATGAACAATCACAACAATTTAGTTCTTCCAGCGTTGATAAAATACATTATTATTTTAACTTCCTCAGCTAGCTTAAATAATATGATCAGCTTGTATTAAGAACAAAGGCACCAAAGAAGACCGTCTGTCTTCTTTAACTCTTGAAGAAAAGCAAGCCATCTGCTTGGCTCCACTCTCGTCCACATCTGGACGCTATCTGGCACTGTCTGGAATGCATCGCACTGAGCTATGCTGGTATGATTTCATTGCTGGTAATTCGCTAAGTCAGCATCGGTCATCGATGATCTCCACACATATATATATATATATATACAGTGCAGTCGCATTAATATGCCACCTCCTTTCGATTTCAAAAGGAAATAACCAGTCACAGAATGCAGCAGCACAATACAGTGGTGCGTATATAAAGGCTGCCCAACAGAATCACAAGACATTGCAGGCGTTGGCATAATGCAGAAATGGAGCAATTTATTTGATGTCCAAAAAGGGCATGATTATTGGCTTTTGGGCCAAGGCTGGAAGCATTTCCAAAATGGCTAATTTTGTAAACTGTTCATATATCACTGTTGTAAAAGTATACTGCGCATGGCAAAATGGCACTATCCAAAATCAGCGATGTGGCAAATGTTGTGCACCACGGGACATAGATAACAAAAGCGAATGACTGCTGCAGAGATGCGTTCAGGTGAATAGCCATGCAGCTAACAGCCCAGATTACTCAGCAGTCTCTCCTCAACAAGAGTTCGGTAAATGTTACTGCGTATGGGCCTCCATAGCAGATGCCTAATGAAAGCGCCTATGCTTACTGCAGTTCATCAATGACAAAGGCTTGAATTTGCATGCTAATACCGCAACTAGATGTCCACTGAGTGGTGATAGGTGGCTTTTCCCAATGAATCGTGTTTTATGCTCCATTAGACTGATGTCTGATGGTGTATACAATGTGAAACATGAGAAACACCCTACAACAATTGTCATAAGGGTCCAAGCTAGAGGAGGGAACATTATGGTCTGGGGAATGTTTTCATGGCATTTGCTTGGGGCATTCATCATTGTGGAAAGCATAATGGATCAACATAAATATGCATCTGTCTTTGCGGACCATGTCCAACCCTACATGCGAATTGTTTTTCCTCAGAATGATAGCATCTACTAGCAGGACAATGCCAAGTGTCATACAGCTCACAGTGTTCATGCTTGGTTTGAAGAGCACCAGGATGAGTTTACCGCACTCCCCTAGCAAGCAAACTCCCATCACTTAAAGCCAATCGAGAATCTGTGGGACCACCTCGATCAGTTGTTCGTGGGAGGGTTCCTCATCCACATAACCTAGTGCAGCTGGCCACTGTACTGGATTCGGCATGGCTCAACATCCCAGTGACCACCTTCAAGAACCTAACACCAGATGAAAGATAGAACCAGATAAAAGTTATATCTTTTATCTCTTCCTGCATGTCTCGCAGTGGTTCACTCTGCAAAAGATGGTTATTCTGGCTTTGATAGGTGGTCACATTAATGTGACTAGACTGTCATATCAAAACTGTAAATAGGCTTCAATATTTCTGCAAGCAAATTAATACATTTAGCTGTTTACAAAAAATGCATTTCATACTTGCAATTATATCAAATGAGAAATTAATGACTGCTGTAAGTAGATTTGCTCATCAGATCAAATGTGGTGACACTAAAACGTGCAATAGTAGCATGCAGTGGTAAATTGTGGGAAGATGTGAAATTAAAAATATGACTGTAGGTACATAGCATTGCAGACAGTGTTCATTTTGATGATGAGTAAGGATACAATGATGAAAATTTTATGAAGAAACTGCATATAAAAACTACAATAAAAAAAGACATAAAACGAATAATTTATTGGTTCTATCTTTTATCTGGTGTTATAATAGCAAATTTCTTTACTTTAATTGCAAGATGTGTTATGTTCTGGTTATGACATTGTTTAAGTAATCAGTTTTGTTTTTCTTAAATGGATTTCACAATTTTAAAAACAACATAAAAGCACTTTCTTAATGTCTCCAGAAAATGTGAATTAAAAAATATATATATTTATGAATCTATGCAGTGGAGTGCCATTTATATGTTTCTCATTTATATATCTTTAGCATTTATACGTCATTTCATCTTAGTTCCGATTTAGTCATATTTATTTTAAAAAATTTCTTTTGTGTGTCCATAATTTCATTTATAAAAATTTTGCATTTTAAGATATTAAAAATAATAAATTTGTATAATATTGTTTAAAATTATAAAAAGTTTAAATTGTTTAAAATATAAATTAAATATTTATTTAAATATTAATTTTATATTATTGGTGTTAAAATTGTGAGGCTAAAATATACATCTTTCTCATTCATACGTTGTTTGTGAATGGTCCCTTAAAAGACGAATAAAAGTTGATCAATTGTATATATAAGAATGACCTGCTGCTGTGTTTTTGAGGTTTGTTTCCACCTTTTTTACAATGTTTGATTGCAATACCAGACCAAAAAGACATTATCAATATTCAGTATTTTTTTAAACATTGCACCAGAGTATCAGTGTTTGGAATTTTTCAAAAAATGTACAAAAACACAGTTGTTTCTGTTCAGTATTTATTATTTTCATACAAAATATGCACAAACTATAAAAATATAAACAATTTTGTTATATACAAATATAAAATAAAGGAACAAATGTTGTAATCAAATATTATTAATAAGAGCAGTAGAATTATAATTTATAACATTAGAAATAAAAAATATAATATAAAAAACAAACCATTACAAAATTACAATACAGTAAAGGAACAAATCATGTAATATTATTATTAAGAAGAAAGTATATCACATAAAAATCTTATTCTGTAGTCTATTATATAATACCTATTAATAGAAAAAAACTAATTTATTAACTGCATATTTAAATGCTTTTTTGATAATATCATACATAGAGAAAATGATTTTAATAAAGGGGGGAGCTGAATTGAATATATTTCTTAATATCTAAATTGAATTTTTATATATAAAAACCACTTTAACATGATGATCTCGCCAAATTGATTGTCCATGGGTCTGCAAATAGTTATTGTCATTTTGAACACAAGATTTCGAAAAAATTAAGCTCTGAACTGATAAGATGATAACTAAATCATTGTATAAATTGTGTTAAGTTCTTCAATAAAATAAGGATTTTTCATTAATTATATCAAGTAGTTTATTTACTTTTGAATATTCTATAACATAGTCTATAGAACTAGGATTGCAGGGTCTTTTGGGATACACAGAAAGTGTGAATTATTTTCTCTGTTAAATAGCTGTCTTGTGAATTAAGTATGAATAGCAACCTTTTTATGATTGTGTTAAGTAAATTTTTGAAACAGATCTTGCATATGTTATTTAATAATCTGCACATATAGCATAAATATTTCTCTTTATTATAGCCTCAACCAAAAGAAAATAAGTTCTGGCGTAGCTTAGATATTGATGCACAAAATATGCGTCCTCGGTTTAAAACACAACGTAGTAGTTCTATGCCGACACCTAAGGCTCAAAAGAGTGAAGATGGAGGAAGAATATCTCCTGGCTTAGATGACCAAGATGATAACTCTACAACTCACAAAGAAAACGCATCCAGAGTTTCCAATGAAGACAATGTTCTGTTAGATCCAGAAGTTCTTGTTGATTTCCCAACTCAAGCATTAGTTCTCACTGTTTTGGTATGTTATGAAATTTAAATTTTCAATATAATTTCTTAAGCTTTCCTCTGAAGGGCAAAAATATCCAAGAATATCTTTTCTTCAAATATTATTTTTATAAATTAATGTATTCATTATTTTCATAAATTAATGTATTAAAATATGTATTCCTTGTAAATATTCTGTTGAATATTTTTGCTCCTTGGAAAAAAAAGAGAGATTCTATTCAAATTGCTTTCAAAATGCAGAGAATTAGAATTCTTCCATAATAACAGTGCCAGTCTGAAGTTAATTTTTCAAAATTCCTTAATGAAATTCACTGGTACTTCGGTCCGAGGTTCGAATCCCGCAAACGGGCTGGCCGCATGGGTGTTTAACGTGTATACGAGCCAGTTTCCCTTAGAAAGTCCTCACGAAGGCACTCTCCCCTAGCGATAGCCTGGAGGCTTTCCGTAATATTAACCTAACCTAATAAATTACTTTATTAAATTAAAATTTTATGTGTTCTTTGCAAGTTATTTGGATTTTAGTTTCGTTAAAAATGGATTTCTGTTAATTAAAAACTGAATTTGGCACTGTTATTTTTATAATTTACTGTTTTCTATAAAATCAGTGTGGTCTAAAGTGAGTTTTTCAAATTCTGTAATGAAACATTTTAAAATTAAATTTTTGCAAAATGCATACAATACACCAATATGCCAGTCTTATAAGGAATTGTATCAACTTGACTATCTTTTTTTTTTTTTTTTTTTTTTTTTTCGAAAAGCCAGTTTCTATATAAGATTTTGCTCATATTTATGTTTTTAGAAAAGGAACTGATAAATTCATTTTGGCACTGCCAAACAATGAAAAATAGATTGTTAAATTAGATTAGGAGAATAATATTCATAGTGAAATCTTTATTCAATATCACAGATGGAACGTCTACTTCATAATAACCTTATCCCTATCTACTGTCATAATAACAATAGTAAGAAGTTTAATGCTGCACAAACCACAATAGTACTGCATCAAGAAAAGAAGGGATTGTGATTATCCATTTACATTTTTTCTCCATATCATATATAATTATATTTAATATATTTTAACACCCTGCATTTTGAATGTATTGTTAGGTTTATGATTATTTCACTTGCATTAATGGAGCACTATGTTTTGTATGACTTCTCTCTTTTAATTTTTTTCCTTTCCCTTATCTACTGTCATTTTATTTAAAATTATTTAAAAATAGTTTTTTCACAATACTTAATTTTAAAATTGTAGATTAAATTTGTCATTATTCCTTTTCTTTTTAAAATTGATATATTTAAAAATAAATTAACCTTGTGTGTTTTGTACCATAGGCAACATTAGTCAGGAATACCACTGATGAAAATGAAATGCAGATTTTATATGAATACTTAGCTGAAGCTTCTGTTGTGTTTGCTCGTGTTTTCCCAGTGATGTATGTATGAACATTATTAAGACTATATACATTTTGTTACACTGTGAAACTTTTAATTTTGCATTATGTAATTTGCAATTTGCATAAAATATTGTCAGAATATTTTTTGATTGAAACTGTTAAGTATACATAATAATTATAAAAGTGTTTGCATAGTTTTCTCTTTAGTATTTGTCTCAAATGAAAATTTTGAAATCATTTTAACTAGAAATTCTTTTTCTCTCATGCAACTGAAGTTATATCAGAAGATAATTGTGTATTTGAAAATGCAACGATTTGCAAGATTTAAGTGTTCATAGTTTTAAATTAGAATCCTTTTTCAATTTAATTAATTT